ACTTGTAGGTAGTCCCGGGGTTTTTCTTTCTTCCTGAGTTTTATTTGCATGTAGTTTTTTCTTCCTGAGACAAACTTTTGTCTTTCTTCTCTGGCCTTTGGCAGTGTCCTGGGAGTTGGTGGCTTGTCTGCAGTCATATCAGCCGCGGAGGGACAGCTGCACTGTTTAGTCCTGTGAGTTCCAAGCAGTGAAAACCACATAGAGGGTCTGCAGCTGATCGCACAGCTGTGCTGAGGGCCAGCATGTGGATCGAGGCTTCTTTGCTGGTGTGGGGGCACAGATGAGGCCCAGTCTTCATTCTGTCAGAGTCCTACATATCTCCAGCATAGTGCGTTTCTCAGCAGACGATAGAGGATCAGCACGGGAACCCATGGGGAGCCCAGGCAGGCTGAGTAAGGCAGTTTCTTCTTCTGGTATGATGGCTGAGCCTGAGGAAGGTGATGTTCTACTGGGAAACTGTGAGCCGGACTGCGAGGTATTGTGAAGTACTCAGAGCTGAAAAGAGTTTTGTAATTGGATGTGTTTACTGGGTACCTGCTTGTATTTGCAGAATACTGTAAACACAGATCCTAATAAAGAGATTTCTAAAAATGGATTTAGTATGGTTGTTCCCTGGCCCACTGCATTGCTGAGTACCCTTTTCCCTCTTGGGGAAGTATAAAAGTTTTCAGGGACCAGATAGAGATGTAAGCTCGGTCCTAGGGGATGAGGAATGTAGCTGGAAGGGCCCTGTGGGCAGTGGGCAGTATCCAGGCACAAGCATGACAACAGGTTGTGCTGTGGTGCTGGCCGAGGCCCAGTACACGATGTAGAGAGCAGAGCATCTAACACCTGAAAAATGGCTTCAGCTAACTCTTACCTAGGCCAGGGGTAGCCACCTGGAAGAGTCACACCTCACTTGGGGTGTCCTGGCCTCAAGGCTGCCACTCCCCTCTCCCAGGCTACCCTTGGAGCTGTGCCTCCCACATCCCAGGGTCTGGGCTGTGTCCCCACTGCAGGAAAGGCTGGAGAAATGCCTGGACTTTCAGCCTTAGCTGGAGCTCCACTGATCCACCAGCCTCAGGGAGATTCCTGAAGCCTGGGTTCCATGAACATAGGCAGTCATGTCTGCCACAGTTACCCAGGGTGAGCTCACAGAGGCAGAGCCTCTTCTGGCACCTTTAACTCACCAGCTTGTAGCTCTGAGTGTTGCACACAGCGGACATGGCCTGTGTTAGACGAGTCAAGGCCTACCAGGGACTCCATACCTGTGTTGCAGCGTGCCTGCTCCATCTGGAGGGTTGCATCCCAATTTCTGTCTTCCTTCTCTGTGGTACAACTGGAGCTGTGGACATGCCTTCCTGATGCCAGGAGCCACCAACCCCAAAGGAAGGAGGGAAACCATGTGCCCTCCCTCCACTGTTCAAAAAATTACTCCTATTTATGTTTGTGTGCCAGTCCTGGAGCTTGAATTCAGGGCCTGGATGCCATCCATGTACTTTTGTGCTCAAGGCCAGCACTCTACCATTTGAGCCACAACTCCATTTCCAGCTTTTTGGTAGCTAATGGAGATAATAGTCTCACAGACTTTCCTGCCATGGTTGACTTCAAACCATAATAACTCCTCTTTTGTTTTGGTAAAACACAACACTAACCGTTGACCACTTTACAGTATACAGTTGCACATTATAATAATGTTGTGCAGCCAGCCCAGCTGTAAGTTTAGAACAGTCCATCGCTCCATAGAGAAATCCTGTGGGCACATAATCACCAGTCTACCCTGACTCTGGAGTTGTGGTGTCTAGTTTTCCAAGATCCATGCCCTCTCGTGTCTGGCTTCATGGTCATCCACAGGGCCCATGATCCTCTCCAGCTGGGTGACCTGGCTCTTAAGACACTTCTCATTTTGTCTGCGCTGGGGCCTTCTTCCCCTGGAAGCCACAGGGCTCCGGTGACCCTTCAGCTTCCGGAGCCAGATACCTTCCACCTGCGGGTGAGTTCTAGCTCCTCAGCTGGCTCAGACAACAGCAGAATGGGCTGCCAGGTGAACGCATCTTACATGGTTTTAGTTGGAAGCTGCACCTCACAACAGACCAATGAGGTGCACGTGAGTTGGTCGTTGGTGCCTGTGATCACCTGCTCCATGCCTGGCCCCGCCTGTGCCCTTCCTCTGCCCTCTGTGTCTACCCCAACCTTCCCTCTACAGAAACTAGGCTGGGTCAGAGCACAGCTTTCGGAGCATCTCAGGCCCTCACTCTGACCATAGAGTTCTCTGTGATAATCACAGGTTGGGCTGGGACAAACAGACCATAATCTGAAGTTGACATGACAGAACGACTCATTTTAGTCCTGAATTGGTGTGTGCATCAAGCATGATGTGTCTGATGGCTGCAGTTTGTATGGTGAATTATTCATGTGCGACTATTGTCACTTGAGCAGACTATTCCACAAAGGTCACTTCCAAAAGTCTTGGACAGACAAGGTTGACCCTGGGTCAGTTGAGGTGTTGCCCATGATCTGTGGACATGCTCTGCTCACTGCTCCTGTGAGCCCCAAGTCACATGAGCTGCACATAGGCCTACTGGCCTGGCCAGGTACCCTGCAGCCTCCACGTGCCCAATAGCTAGCATGCAGCCAGGACAGGTAGCCTATCAGCCTCTGTGTCCCTCACAGGTGCCTTGCCAGTATATAGGGCAGGCCCAGCTGGTCTCTGGTTCATGGCTATCCATTGACCCCTCATCTTCTAAATTCATCTCAAGGCACCTCAGAGTTTATGCAGATGGGACACGGAGGCAACTGCCCACCTTCTGGTTCTCCCCTCAGCCCTAAGTGTGGTTGAGTTTTCCGTAGTTGGCTGTTCCTAACTTGTTGGTATCAAGTCCTTTGCCTGAGCTGTAAGAGCTCTGAAAGGCCTCAGCCTTTGGGACAATTAGAGTCAAAAGATCACTCCAAAGCTTACCTCAGTGGGAAAGTGCAGGTGTACATGGTGTGTGTGTATGTCAGAGGTGTGAGTGTGTATCTGTGTAGGGAGGAATCAGGCCAAAGGCAGGTGTGTGCACAAATGGGATATGGGTATGGATATAGGTACAGATGAGGCATATAGGTGAGGATGCACAAGCGTGTGCAGGAGTTTGTGTACACATTGGATGTGAGGGGGCAGACAAGAGAGGCTGCCACCCCTTCTTGAACAGTCCCAAGGGGTACCAGTGGTTGGCCCACCAAGGGCATTCACAAACAGGAGCAAAACAATCTTGAACTTAAGATTTGAGAGGGTAGAGGCCACAGGGGAAAGGAGAAGGGAGCTGGTAACTCTTGTTCAGCCATCCTCCAGATGGCCATAGAGCAGCCACATTGGGAAGCAGGATTAAGTCATCCCAAACGTCGGTCACCAGGAGGGGCAGCAGAGTAGACCCCAGTGGGCAGGCTCAGGGTGGCCCTCTGCTTCGAATGGGGCCAAGTGTGATTAAGGTGTTGGCTTTTCATTATGGGGCTGCAGTAGTACCTTCCCTCACCCCGTGTCCAGGGCCTTGATTGAATCCAGGGCCTTACACTTGCTGAGCAAGCACTTGACCTCTTGGGCACTCCCATAAGAATTTTATAGTCAAAACTCAGAACATGTAAAGCAGACACAGTGTGGAGGGTGGGTTGTGACTTTGCCTTGAGTCCATTTATGGGGACCAGTTGGTCTGGTCACTTTCTCCCCTCCCCCCCCCCCAACGCCAACTTACTCTCACCTCTCTCCTCCCCACCCCCACTGAGAAGCTGGTGGTCTCTATGGCTTCCAGCATAGCTTTGTGAGGCGCCTGGGTTCCGGGCCTACCCTGTGCACTTCTCAGTTTGGCCAGGACCGAATGAGGGGTGTCTGTTCTTTGCTGCTCAGCCTAGTAAGAGAGGTGAGAAATCAGAATGGACGGTAGACATAGCTTGGCTTCTTCCCTTTGGACCAGGACCCAGTAAGGGGCTCTGTCTCAGAGGGGAAGCATTGACCAGGCAGCTTCGGAGCTGGCAGGATTTCTCTCTGGTGACACTTCGCCAGGGTCAGCACAGTGAGGCTGGGCGTGGGGGCAGGACCGGCTGCTCCTGAGCGCTCGGATGAGTGGCTGCAAGCCTGGCCAGCCCCCTGGAGAGTACTGCTGTGTCTCAGTACTGAGCCGCAGAGAAAGCTACAGGGACAGTATGTGGGGAGGGCAGAGGATGATGAAGGGTAGCAGACAGGGCTCAAGGCTCAGACAAGGCCTACAGAAAGCTCCAGGACTGTGGCCTTGGAATAACCCTTCAGGGGCCTCAAACAAGAGACCTCTGCAGAAATGACCTAAAAGGGAACCCAGGCACCCCCACAATGCTAATTCCTGGATCCAAAGTCAAGTCTCCAGAAACATGCATCACAGATATCCCTGTCCTTGAATGATAAACAGGTTTATTAAGATACAGCTGGAATAAATAAGCTAAAGGGCCTCAGCTCAGAGTGGAGGTGTGATTTTGAGGGAGGCAGCCCAGGATATCAGGATAGAGGGGACAGTGAAGTGTAGCTGCAGGTTTCATGTCTGTGTTGTTATGGGATGTACAAAGTTGTGTGTGTGTGTACATGTGTATGGCAATGTGTGTATATGTGGTGTGTGTTATTCTGTTGTGTTCTGGTGTTATGAGTGCTGTCATTGTATATGGTAGCGTGTACATGCTGGTTGAATATTGTATATTTATATACTGCAGTGTCTGCTGTGTGCAGGTTATATATTGTGTGCTAGGTATGGTGTTTACTATTGTATGCAGTGTGAGTACTGTGTGCTGTGTGTGTGGTGTATATGTCATCTGCTATGTAGGGTATACAGTGATTTGTGTGTTGTATCATTGTATACTGTGTATGGAGTCAAAAACTGTATGCTGTGTGCAGTTGTGTGGGATGTTACGTGTATGGTGTATGTGTGTATGCTTTATGTGCTGTCTGTTCTAATTGGGAATAGTGTGGTCTCTCTGGCAGCTGTGACTGAAACTTCCAGTATCCTGTGTGTGGTCATTGCCTTGACGCCTGCGGTCCTGTCTCCTGTGGCCTGTTCTGCTTCCTGTCCCCAGCCCAGGTGAGGCAGAGGAAGGGCATTGGAAACGTGTTCCTGCCACCCCTCTAGATAGAGAGGCCTCACTGTCATGTCCTTTCTGACATTTCTCACTTGGAATACACAGGGCATTATTTTCTTGAAGGGAAAGTAATCTCGATCAGGCCAGCCTACTGGGGGGATGGCAGGCTCAGGGGATACCGCAGGCCTGGCTCTGGGGTGGAGAGGGGCAACTGTCAAAAGTGGCCGGACCCTGCGGGGTGGAAAGGACTGTACATGAGTTGGGGGGTCCTAGGAGGTGAGGGCATTGTCATTGTGTCCATCAGTCACATGATGAATACAAGAACACGGAGGACACATGATGCACACGAGGAGCACAGTGAGCACACAGCATGCACACGAGCACAGTGAGCACACATGATGCACACGAGCAGCACAGTGAGCACACATGATGCACACGAGGAGCACAGTGAGCACACATGATGCACACGAGGAGCACAGTGAGCACACATGATGCACACGAGCAGCACAGTGAGCACACATGATGCACACTAGGAGCACAGTGAGCACATATGATGCACACGAGGAGCACAGTGAGCACACATGATGCACACGAGGAGCACAGTGAGCACACATGATGCACACGAGGAGCACAGTGAGCACACATGATGCACACGAGCAGCACAGTGAGCACACGGCATGCACACGAGGAGCACAGTGAGCACACATGATGCACACGAGCAGCACAGTGAGCACACGGCATGCACACGAGGAGCACAGTGAGCACAGATGATGCACACGAGGAGCACAGTGAGCACACATGATGCACACGAGGAGCACAGTGAGCACACATGATGCACACGAGGAGCACAGTGAGCACACATGATGCACACGAGCAGCACAGTGAGCACACATGATGCACACGAGGAGCACAGTGAGCACACATGATGCACACGAGGAGCACAGTGAGCACACGGCAGGCACACGAGGAGCAGAGTGAGCACACATGATGCACACGAGGAGCACAGTGAGCACACGGCATGCACACGAGCACAGTGAGCACACATGATGCACACGAGGAGCACAGTGAGCACACATGATGCACACGAGGAGCACAGTGAGCACACATGATGCACACGAGGAACACAGTGAGCACACATGATGCACACGAGGAGCACAGTGAGCACACATGATGCACACGAGGAGCAGAGTGAGCACACATGATGCACACGAGGAGCACAGTGAGCACACGGCATGCACACGAGCACAGTGAGCACACATGATGCACACGAGGAGCACAGTGAGGACACATGATGCACACGAGGAGCACAGTGAGCACACATGATGCACACGACGAGCACAGTGAGCACACATGATGCACACGAGGAGCACAGTGAGCACACATGATGCACACGAGGAGCACAGTGAGGACACATGATGCACACGAGGAGCACAGTGAGCACACATGATGCACACGACGAGCACAGTGAGCACACATGATGCACACGAGGAGCACGGTGAGCACACATGATGCACACGAGGAGCACGGTGAGCACACATGATGCACACGAGGAGCACAGTGAGCACACGGTATGCACACGAGGAGCACAGTGAGCACACATGCACACGAGGAGCACAGTGAGCACACATGATGCACACGAGCACAGTGAGCACACATGATGCACACGAGGAGCACAGTGAGCACACATGATGCACACGAGGAGCACAGTGAGCACACGGCATGCACACGAGGAGCACAGTGAGCACACATGATGCACACGAGGAGCACAGTGAGCACACATGATGCACACGAGGAGCACAGTGAGCACACGGCATGCACACGAGGAGCGCAGTGAGCACACGGCATGCACACGAGCACAGTGAGCACACATGATGCACACGAGGAGCACAGTGACCACACATGATGCACACGAGGAGCACAGTAAGGATACGGCATGCACACGAGGAGCACAGTGAGCACACATGATGCACACGAGGAGCACAGTGAGCACACATGATGCACACGAGGAGCACAGTGAGCACACAGCATGCACACGAGCAGCACAGTGAGCACACGGCATGCACACGAGCAGCACAGTGAGCATACATGATGCACACGAGGAGCACAGTGAGCACACATGATGTACACGAGGAGCACAGTGAGCACACGGCATGCACACGAGCAGCACAGTGAGCACACGGCATGCACACGAGGAGCACAGTGAGCACAGATGATGCACACGAGGAGCACAGTGAGTACACATGATGCACACCAGGAGCAGAGTGAGCACACATGATGCACACAAGGAGCACAGTGAGCACACATGATGCACACGAGGAGCACAGTGAGCACACATGATGCACACGAGGAGCGCAGTGAGCACACATGATGCACACCAGGAGCACAGTGAGCACACAGCATGCACACGAGGAGCACAGGGAGCACACATGATGCACACGAGGAGCACAGTGAGCACACATGATGCACACGAGCAGCACAGTGAGCACACATGATGCACATGAGGAGCACGGTGAGCACACAGCATGCACACGAGGAGCACAGTAAGGACACGGCATGCACACGAGGAGCACAGTGAGCACAGATGATGCACACGAGGAGCGCAGTGAGCACACATGATGCACACCCGGAGCACAGTGAGCACACAGCATGCACACGAGGAGCACAGGGAGCACACATGATGCACACGAGCACAGTGAGCACACATGATGCACACGAGGAGCACAGTGAGCACACATGATGCACACGAGCAGCACAGTGAGCACACATGATGCACACGAGGAGCACGGTGAGCACACAGCATGCACACGAGGAGCACAGTAAGGACACGGCATGCACACGAGGAGCACAGTGAGCACAGATGATGCACACGAGGAGCACAGTGAGCACACATGATGCACACGAGGAGCACAGTGAGCACACGGCATGCACATGAGCAGCACAGTGAGCACACATGATGCACACTAGGAGCACAGTGAGCACACATGATGCACACGAGGAGCACAGTGAGCACACATGATGCACACGAGGAGCACAGTGAGCACACATGATGCACTCGAGGAGCACAGTGAGCACACGGCATGCACACGAGGAGCACAGTGAGCACACATGATGCACTCGAGGAGCACAGTGAGCACACATGATGCACACGAGGAGCACAGTGAGCACACATGATGCACACGAGGAGCACAGTGAGCACACATGATGCACACGAGGAGCACAGTGAGCACACATGATGCACACGAGGAGCAGAGTGAGCACACATGATGCACATGAGGAGCACAGTGAGCACACATGCACATGAGGAGCACAGTGAGCACACATGATGCACACGAGGAGCACAGTGAGCACACGGCATGCACACGAGCACAGTGAGCACACATGATGCACACGAGGAGCACAGTGAGCACACATGATGCGCACGAGCACAGTGAGCACACAGCATGCACACGAGCACAGTGAGCACACATGATGCACACGAGGAGCACAGTGAGCACACATGATGAACACGAGCACAGTGAGCACACGGCATGCACACGAGCACTGTGAGCACACATGATGCACACGAGCACAGTGAGCACACGGCATGCACACGAGGAGCACAGTAAGGACACGGCATGCACACAAGGAGCACAGTGAGCACAGATGATGCACACGAGGAGCACAGTGAGCACAGATGATGCACACGAGCAGCACAGTGAGCACACATGATGCACAGGAGGAGCACAGTGAGCACACATAATGCACACGAGGAGCACAGTGAGCACACAGCATGCACACGAGGAGCGCAGTGAGCACACATGATGCACACGAGGAGCACAGTGAGCACACATGATGCACACGAGGAGCAGAGTGAGCACACGGCATGCACACGAGGAGCACAGTGAGCACACATGATGCACACGAGGAGCACAGTGAGCACACATGATGCACACCAGGAGCACAGTGAGCACACATGATGCACACGAGCAGCACAGTGAGCACACATGATGCACACGAGGAGCACAGTGAGCACACATGATGCACACGAGGAGCACAGTGAGCACACATGATGCACACGAGGAGCACAGTGAGCACACATGATGCACACGAGCACAGTGAGCACACAGCATGCACACGAGCACAGTGAGCACACATGATGCACACGAGCAGCACAGTGAGCACACATGATGCACACGAGGAGCACAGTGAGCACACATGATGCACACGAGGAGCACAGTGAGCACACATGATGCACACGAGGAGCACAGTGAGCACACATGATGCACACGAGGAGCACAGTGAGCACACATGATGCACACGAGGAGCACAGTGAGCACACATGATGCACACGAGCACAGTGAGCACACATGATGCACACGAGCAGCACAGTGAGCACACATGATGCACACGAGGAGCACAGTGAGCACACATGATGCACACGAGGAGCACAGTGAGCACACATGATGCACACGAGGAGCACAGTGAGCACACGGCAGGCACACGAGGAGCAGAGTGAGCACACATGATGCACACCAGGAGCACAGTGAGCACACGGCATGCACACGAGCACAGTGAGCACACATGATGCACACGAGCAGCACAGTGAGCACACATGATGCACACGAGGAGCACAGTGAGCACACATGATGCACACGAGGACCACAGTGAGCACACATGATGCACACGAGGAGCACGGTGAGCACACATGATGCACACTAGGAGCACAGTGAGCACACATGATGCACACTAGGAGCACAGTGAGCACACATGATGCACACGAGGAGCACAGTGAGCACACGGCATGCACACGAGGAGCACAGTGAGCACACATGATGCACACGAGGAGCACAGTGAGCACACATGATGCACACGAGGAGCACAGTGAGCACACATGATGCACACGAGGAGCACAGTGAGCACACGGCATGCACACGAGGAGCACAGTGAGCACACATGATGCACACGAGGAGCACAGTGAGCACACATGATGCACACGAGGAGCACAGTGAGCACACATGATGCA